GCCTGCCTCCCATGCCCTGCTCTTTCTTAAAACTTTCCACCAGCCTGACAGTCACATTAGAGTAAGAGGGCAAAAATGGAGCTCTGGTGGCGTCGTGGCTGCTAACCGAAAGGTCAGCGGTTCACACTCATCAGCCGCTCCAGGGGAGAAAGATGAGGCAGGCAGCGTCCGTGAAGACTGACAGCCTTAGAAACCCTAGGGGGGCAGTTCTACCCTGTCCTGCAGAGTCACTGTGATTTGGAATTAACCTGATGCCAGTGGGTTTAGCTGTTGGTAAGAGAGCAAAATACCCATGTGGCTCAGGACTCTTTTGGGTCTAAAGCCAGGTTTTGTGTCTGGAAAGCAAACGTTCCAGCACCGGCCCCAGGCCAGCCTCCTCTTCCTCCCACAGTCCCTCTGCTGGGGGCCAGGCAGGGGCTCACCGACATTGGCGACGTAGAGCTTGTTGTTCAGAAGGACCGCCACGACAGCCATGGCTCCTCCGGAGATCTCCCTCTCCAGCACCCGGAGTCGCTCAAGGACCTTCTGGTACTGAGGAGGCAACTGGTGCTGCGGGACGCCCTACAGCCCAGCCCCAGAGGGTCAGGGCAAGACGGCCCCCAGACCACCATACAACCCGCCCCTCACTGACAGAGCCAGGAACTGCGGGACGCCCTACAGCCCGGCCCCAGAGGGTCAGGACAGGACGGCCCCCAGACCACCACACAACCCGCCCCTCGCTGACAGAGCCAGGAACTGCGGGACGCCCTACAGCCCGGCCCCAGAGGGTCAGGACAGGATGGCCCCCAGACCACCACACAACCCGCCCCTCGCTGACAGAGCCAGGAACTGCGGGACGCCCTACAGCCCAGCCCCAGAGGGGTCAGGGCACGACGGCCCCCAGACCACCACACAACCCGCCCCTCGCTGACAGAGCCAGGAACTGTGGGACACCCTACAGCCCAGCCCCAGAGGGGTCGGGGCAGGACGGCCCCTGGACCACCGCACAACCCACCCCTCGCTGACAGAGCCAGGAGCTGGCCTGGAGGACCAGGATGTGGCCGAGTCAGGGAGGAGCCACATGCCGCAACTTCCGGGCAGGGTTCCTCCAGGAGAGCCAGAGATGAACCTACCCTGTCCTGTGTGCACCAGAGCTCGGGGTGGGGGGGCTCTGCAAGTGTGTGTGGGTGGGGAGAGCAGGCACAGGTGACAAAGCTACGGACAGATGCAGGTCACAGGACGGACCTGAAGGCCTCTCCTCATGCCTTTTCCTGCCCACCTGCTGCTGAGCTTCAGCATGAAGCTGCCAATGGTGGGCCAGCAAGACCCCTCAGGAGACGCCATCACCACCCCCAGGGAGACCCCTCAGGAAGTGCACTCGTCACCACCCACCAGCAGCACCATCGGGAACTGCTCCCATGGCCCTGGGTGCTTGGGCCCAGTCGTGCCATAGACTAGGGCCATGTGACGTGAGTCCTTGCTCCCCCTCAAAGCTGGGCCTTGACTGGCTCCCCACACGCAGATGGGGTAGGTACCTCTGGCAGCTGGGATTGCAGGCTCGCCTTCTCAGCCAGCGCATCATCGATGGACTCCAGGAAGCTCCTCTCCACCACGTCGAAGGCCTGCAGGGACAGAGGACAGGGCAGAGGCCGGCTCAGAACACCAGCTGCCATGCGATGCTACCACGGTACTGACTGCAGGTTCTTAAGTGAAGGGGCCCTCACTCAGCACTGCCGGCACCCGCCACTCCCTCCAGACCTTCTGACAGACGCTCGCCCGGGAGGGTCGCCAGAGACCCAAGTGAAGTGCAGAGGCTGAGAGCACAGGCCTGGAGCCAGCCCCGGGGGTGAGTCCCAGCTCTGCCACCCGCCAGCGGTGCCACCTCAGTCTCTACATCTACAGAATGGAGGTGAGCATCATGCTGATGAGCAAGTGAGACAGGCCGCCTCCAGCGCTGGGCGGAGGGCCCGGCTCCCAGTGCGTGCGAGATCGACGCCTAGTGTCATCACCAGGATCCCTTCTGAGGGAGGCTCTGTCAAGTCCCGTTGGCCTCTGGACACTGGTGCAGCTGACACCTCCCCCCGAGTGTGTGACCTGCTGAGGTCGCGGTGGGCGCTCAGGTACTGAGGCATGAGAAAGGATGGAACACTGTTGCTGAGGGTCGTGAATCCATCCTTCTTATCTAAGACGAAAGAGCCTCCAGGTGCACTTGTAAAAGCAGCCAGGAGGGAAAAAGCCCAGACAGCAGCAGGCAGAAACGCAGACCGGCAGCCCAGGGCCCCGGCAATCATAAGTCAGGGCCAAGGCCTTTCCTGAAGGCCCAGGGAAGCCTTCTGCCACAGAAGCCGAGCACCTGCACCACCGTAAAGCACAGAGCTCGTTCTCGACGACTGCTCCTACCAAGGCCAAGTGCTTCCCAAGAGCCCAGCTGGTGCAGTGGTTAAGGGCTCAGCTGTTAACTGAAAAGTTGATGATTTGAACCCACAGCCGCTCCAGGGGAAGATGTGGTTCCAGCCTTGGAAACCCTGTGGGGCAGTCCGACTGTCCTACAGGATCACACACCCTTTGTCCAAGGCCATGACTCTAAATGCCCCTTTCCCCAGAAGCATCTCCTGAAGCCAGCCCTGCAGTCATGGGGAAGACTGCTGCTCGCTGCCGGCATGAGTCCCCAGGAGTGGCTCCCAGAGCAGGTCCTTTGTAGGTGCAGAGGAACTGGCAGGGTTCTGAACCCACACAATCTATAGCCACAGGACCCAAGTCCCAGGGCCACAGTGTCCTGAGGGCGCCCGTCCCAGTGGGCCACAGTTCCCTGAGGTCACCCATCCCAGCAAGCCACAGTTCCCTAGGTCACCCATCCCAGCAGGCCACAGTTTCCTAAGGGTGCCTGTCCCGGGGGGCCACAGTTCCCTAGGTCGCCCGTCCCAGCAGGCCACAGTTCCCTAGGTCGCCCGTCCCAGCAGGCCACAGTTCCCTAGGTCGCCCGTCCTGGCACCGTTACCTGCAGCAGCACACGGCGCACATCGGCCTCAGTGTGCTCTGCACTGAGCTGGCCCAGCAGGAGCTCCGCCGACAGCCGCTGGGCCACAAAGTTGGTCACTCGGTTGCCATCGTAGCCGTTGAAAACCCCATAGAGGAAGCAGTTGTTCTCACTCCTGCAGAGGGAGAGGGAGGAAGAAGGGGACCTGAGACCTGAGGCTAACAGAGGAGCAGCACTCGTCCCAGAGTGGAAGAGGGGAGACAGACGGGGTAGACCAAATGCAGCGGCTGCAGTCAGGTGCCCAGTGCCATCTGGCAAATGACCATCATTTCACTCCTGCCATACATCTGAACACTAGGTGTGGAAAGGACACAGCAGCCATCACTTCACATGGGCCACACCTCACAGGCAAGTCCCAGGTGAGCCAGCCCAAAGACAGGTGCCCCTTCCTGTTTATAAACAATGCCAATGCCCAGGAGAGCGGGTGGCATGCTCACCTGAACTTGAGCCAGTTGTCCTCCGGCGGGTGGCTCTCCGTGCCCTTGCCATCAGCAGAGTAGCTGCGGTTGGAGGCTGAGCCCACCCCAGAGAGGTGGCAGAGAGGCAGGTCGTCCGTCCAGCTTGGCTGTTGCTCCTGGGGAAAGGGCAGGACACAGTAAGGGGCCACCTTCTCCCCCAGCACAGACCCCACCTCACCTTCCTGTTCTTCTCCAACAAAAACCTAGGAGGCCCAGAGCCCACAGAATGCTCCATGTCCTTCTGGAAAACAGTGATGCTTGTATAAAAGGACAACTGCAGAGGGCTTTCAGGTTCACAAACTTGTTCCCTGGGAAACCTGAAAAAGACTATAAGGTTCCTAGATGCAACATCTGGTCATGGTTTCTAGTAGTGGCATGTAATGAAACAGGAACACACACACACACACACTCAAGACTGAAAACTCTACAGATGTTGCTCATGTCTTCAGAGTACAGAGGAACCTCCAATCCACTCTCAGAATGTCCGATCTACCTGTCCCAGGTAGGACCCAGAATATCTGCATTGTAGGCAGCTCCTCCTAGTCGATTCTGTCTCAGTGCTCTGATGCTGTACCTTGACACTTTCTAATTTTTATTTTAATTTTAAATTACTTTCTAATTTTTATTGTGATTTGGGTAAAAGTTTACAGAGCAAATTCATTTTCCATACAGAAGTTCATACATGTATTTTGTTTCATGACGTTGATTACAATTCCCCACAACCTAACAGCTCTCTTCCCACCTCCTTCTCTGTGTCCTTCCCTCTTGTGCACTCCTGCCCCGAGCTGGCACCTTGTGCAAACACTGCCCTTCTGTTTTCCCATGACTGATCGCTCCGAGGAGTGTATCTACTTGAAGTAAATGTTCACTCCATATGCCTGTCTGTTGTTTGGCTGGAAGCCACAGGAGCTTCAGGTCAGTTCCAGACCTGAAGGGTAACTAGGGGATAGTCTCAGGGATCTCACCAGGATCTAACAGACCAATAAACCTGGTTGGTTTTTTTTTATGATTTCGAGTTTTGTTCTAAATTGGTCTCCCACTCTATTCAGTACACTGCACTAATCCCCCTCTGAGTGGTTGACAGTGGTAGCTGGGCATCATCTAGTTCCTCTGGTCTCACAGTCATATAGGCTGAGGATCACATGGTCTATTAGTCCCTTGGACTGTTTCCACGCATCTTTGGCTTTCTTCATTCTTCTTTGCTCTGGATGAGGAGACCCATTGTTGCATCTAGATGGCCACTTGCAAGCTTTTAAGACCCCACCTGCTACTCACCAAAGGATACAGAACAATGTTTCTGTGTAGTATATTATGCCAATTGAGCTTGATGTCCCCTGCAACCATGGTCCTGAGCCAACATGACCAACTACTCACTCCCTCAGGATACCCACCTGTGGCCAAGAAGTTACCACAAGTCCTTTGTCAGCTCTATTATCAGACATTCTTACAGCACATACCAATACACTTGTACAAATACTGCCTGCCAACCCTACACATGCTCATGGGCACATTCCCCCCTGCATAGACATGCCTGATCATTCAGCCTGTCCACCCATCGATCATTGTTTGCCTTTACTGACAACACAGTACTGTATGTACAAAAAGGCTCATCTTTGTTGTCTGTACCTCCACGTACCTCTCGATGTCTTCCTCTTCCTCATGACACTACGTTGACCACTCACTTTTGCTGCATTGCCCTTCCCTTTACCCAAATCAATACTTGTCTCTACCTATCTAGCATTGTTACCTTCCCTCCCCCACCCCCAGTAAACAATAAAGAAAGTTTCCTTCCATATATAAACCTTTCCTTGACTTTTTACAATACTGAACTAATACAATATTTGTTCTTCTGCGACTGACTGACTTTACTCAGCATAATGTCCTTGAAGTTCATCCACATCATGCAGTGTTTTGTAGATTCTACATTATTCCTTAGTGTTGCATAGTAGTCCACTGTGTGCATGCACCACGGTTTAGTTATCCACTCTTCCACTGATGGGCACTTAGGTTGTTCTTATCTCTTTGCTATCGTAAATAGTGCTGCAATGAACATGGGTGTGTATATATCTGTTCTCAACTTGGCTCTCACTATATACCTAGTGATGGGATTGCTGGATTAAATGGTATTTCTAATTCCAACTTTTTAAGGAATTGTCACACTGCTTTCCACAGTGGTTGTACCATTTTACAGTCCCACCAATAGCATATGAGAGTCTTAATCTCTCCACATCTTTGCCAGCATTTGTTATTTTCTGTCTTGAACTTTGCTACTAGTGCTGAAGTGAGATGGTATCTCACTATTGTTTTTATTTGCGTCTCTAATGATTAATGATTGTGAACATTTCTTCATGCATTTGTTGGTCACCTGAATATCTTCTTTGGTGAACTGTCTATTCATGTCTTCTGCTAATTTTTTAATTGGATTGTCTGTCTTTTTGTTGTTGAAGTGGTGGAGTTTTCTCTAAATTTTAGAGGTAAGTCTCTTGCCAGGTATGTCACTGCTGTATATATTTTTCCCAATCTGTAGGGTCTTTTTTGCTCTTTTGGAGAAGTCTTTTGAAATACATGGAAAATTTACTCTCATACACTGCTGGTAGGACTGTAAAATGGTACAACCATTGTGGAAAGCAGTATGGCGATTCCTTCATATGTTGGAATTAGAAATACCATTTGACCCAGCCATTTCATTACTAGGTATATACCCTAAAGAAGTGAGAGCCATGACAAGAACAGATATATGCACACCCATGTTCATTGCAGCACTATTTACAATAGCCAAAACATG